AAACTACTTACAGGTAGCCAACACCGCCACAACGACGAACAAAGCAAGAACGTAGTTATTCATGTTCACGGAACTCTTTCTGATCTCGTTTCAATCAGAACTGAATTATGCTGCTGTATGACAGTAGCTTATATACCCCGATGAATGTTTTTTCATTATGGTGCAACTGTGTTCACAACTTAACAAATGCAAGGTCTTTTACGCAATACCACACTCTGTTGTTACCCTTGCTCCGTTTTTGTACTTATCATTTCTTTCAATTCTAAGTATAACTCGTCATCCACACTTTCTTCGAACTTGTGTTTCGACTATTTTATTCCCCTGCATTATTTGATCGAGCGATAAGGAAAGATGGAGCAAAAATGCCTGACTCTGGAGCAACCATGTCTAAGCTTTCCTATTTCTCCTAGTCAAGGGCCAGGCCAAATTGTTAAATCAAATAAATCAATATTAAAGGGATTAAAACAAGTTGCTGCTTCGTATTTCGTTTATTTGTAATACAACGCTTTGGTATAAAGAATTTGTGGTATCTTTGCAGGTTTGTTTGTTCCTTTTTCTTTAATATGGATGAATATATTTACACGAGCGATAGGAATACAATAAGCGAATTAAAGCTAATATAACTATTTTAATATAAACAAAATTTAACGACGACTTTTTCGTGGGACTCACCACGCAACGACGACGATAGCTCTCGCCTCGACGATAATTTCGGGTTTTCCCGAAAGTAGACGGCGGGCCTCGTGCGTCACCAAGGCCCCTCGCGAAGGGTCTACTTCGCGACTCGGCTCTATGGTTTATTATCACGGCAACTCAGGTATAGCCGAGAATTTTTCGATGCTACAAATTTAACGCGAAGATCGAAGACAAACTTCGCTGAAATAGATTAGGGCCCGGGGTTGCCCATATCAGTGGCGCGTTATCCTATGGGCAAAAGGGGCAATTGACCAGGGCCTTCATCAACGAGGGGGCTCCAAAACCAATCTTTTATAACATCATTCACTGTACATGGGGCCCCCAAATTCACATTTGCCAGGGGCCTTGTGAAGCTATAACGCGCCACTAGCCCATACGTGCCCTAGAGCAGTGGTCCCAAACTCAAATTTGCCCGGGGCCTCGTGAAGCTATAACGTGCCACTGGCCCATACGTGCCCTAGAGCAGTTGTCCCAAACTCAAATTTGCCCGGGGCCTCGTGAAGCTGTAACGCGCCACTGGCCCACACGTGCCCTAGAGCAGTGGTCCCAAACTCAAATTTGCCCGGGGCCTTGTGAAGCTATAACGTGCCACTAGCCCATACGTGCCCTAGAACAGTGGTCCCAAATGCACGCGGGCCCAATGCACGATCTGAAAGCAGCTGACGGGCCCGAATTTTTTTCGCCACGTAAGCTCTGTCCGTATCTCTACGACCCTAAAGCTTTAAGCACCGTATTTACAACAAATACACAATTGAAATTTATTCGCGGGCCGCCAGTGTGGGACCACTGCAGTTTTACCACTTTTCTTTTTCAACGAACGTCGTTGCTTCGAACAGATTTGAAAAAACGATAAAAGGAAAGAAGAGGCGAGAGGAAATCTCGTGATTCACTGTCCCCCATTTTGGCAGACACTTCGTTAAAGACGAGGAACTGTGTTTAACGGCGGCTGGTGAACGGAAGGAGGATAATTAAAAGCGCCACTTTCCAATACGACTCGACGAGATACCGCATCGTCTGACTCGGGTTATGAAAGACAAAACGACCCGGGAGAGATAACATCGCGGAGATAGTAAGGTCTCTGGGAATTTTTCTTAGCAAGCTTCAATGTAGATTTCTGCTTGGGGAGTTAACACAGGGGGGGAAATCCCTGGGACTCTGTTAGATTGTACGAGATAGAATTTACCCACGATGTCGCGTGTTTTATACGGTTTGCACGATGATCGCGTTGAATTCTATTTATGGAAGCGGTAATTAGTAAGTTATTGTTCGGGGTCCGTGGCATTGGACGACGGTTTCCTCGGTGATACGGTTTCAAGGGAAAAGCTGATAAATTAGCTGGAACGACTGACTGGAAATAGAAAATTGTTACGATCGTGTTGTTTTGTGTTTCAAGTGTTATTGGCGTTGCATTTTTCGAGGGAAAAATTCGACGAATGGAGATTGTAAACACTGACATGATTTTTGTAAGTTAATTGAAAAAATAGAGTTTGAGAAGGAGGACTTGTGAAAGTTTTCAAGGTATGAGAATCTACTGTGCAGTCGAAAGAATATTAAAAAATAAAAGAAAATTCTTTTAAATCGAAAAATAATCAACAAGAACTTTTTACCAAAAAAAGAAACGAAAGGAATCATTTTAGAATTTTAGAATTTCATCTCTCAAATTCTTTGTCTAATTAAAAGACTAACATGGAGTCCCAAAAATCGATTAACCATATTAAACCTAAGGCGCCATTAATACGAATATTAACAAAGACATTCTGTTACCACTTTGTAATAAAAAATGCCAATTCTTTAACCTCTTCAAGGACAATTTCTGAAGTCACAAAAAAAAAAATGATCTAATTCTTATGCAGCTACATTTACGTTCACGTTAAATCGATAGCAATTAAACTGCCTTCGTTCCTAATACGTAAAATTACGTTTTTCATATTTCATTAAAATTTCCGGAAAAAATAAACGTAGATACAAAAACATCTTAATATTCCGGAAGTATTTAAAAAACAGAACGCGCAGTAACCTTCACACTCGCGCAACACGGTACAAGCATGCAACATTAACTTGAGTCATCAGAATTCTTTTCCAAGTTATCAGGGTCAAAAGATTATCTCTGAAAAGCTATTTCCTCGGAGGAAATCGGATCGACTGTGTAGAGACGTTGATCTTAACCAGCCAGGGCTCGAAAAGTCCCCTTGCATTGTACAATTCTTTCTCGAGTAACTCCCGTTTACGGTAGAATAGCGAACGTTTAGCATTGTTCGAGGGAGGGAGGTTGATTGGGCGCGTTAATATCGGGTCAGTGTGTCAGAAGGTTCGACAGAGGGGGGTTGGAAACGGTGGCCCTTCGTCTCGGTACAAAGGAGCGAGCCTCGCCTCCTCTGTGACGTGACATTGCACAGAGGGGGCGAGAACTGGAGTAGAGAGAGGGTGGTAGGTACGGAAGAAGGGAAGCAGAGCGATCGAGGAGGGTAACTCGAGCACTTCCAATCGAGTTTCCCGCTGTCAGTGACTACTGGTCCCACGTTCACGAGCAGCTAACCTCTTTTCTGAGCCTCCCGACGCTAGATAGGTCCTGTGGAAACGTTAAATAGATTTTTGGCAAATGGAGAGATTGGAGGAGGATCGGGCGTGAATAATTTCTGATGAATTCAACGTTTCAACACGCTGCTTTCCCCCTAAACAGAACGTTATATGTCGTCTTATATTTATTGTACAGAGTGGCCACTGAAAAACTGAGGGGTTCGAATGGGCCTCAATTTCGTCCCTTGTCGCGCACTTCCTCTTTTATTCTCTTAAAATTACGATACTACATGTTAGCACAACTTAAGTAAATTTAACACAGGATAGGATATTAACCAAAAATGTATTAAAGTATAGCGATAAGCGACTGCTAGGTGCTTCGGTGTCCGTCTCGCTCGACGGCTATTTCCAGAGTGTCCTCTCCGTGTCGTATCCCGCGTTGGAGCCCCCTCGTTCGACTTTCCGGGGAAAGGGCTTAGTTTATGGTACTGTAGCGTGTAACTAGTGCACGCCAATAGAGAGTAAGTCACACCTAGACCCGCGCCAATAGCAAATAATATTAACACGCACCAATAAGGTGCGAGCGTAATTAGCAAATTAGGTACCTGAGGCGTGTACCGATAGGGCACTCTCCACGGTCCGCGCACAGGAAAAGGGCGTATATAAGGACGCCCGAAAAAGGGCAAAACAGGTAGTCTGGGACAGCGAACTGAGGAAACCCTGTACTCGATGTAACTAAACATTTAAACCAGCGAACTCTGTAACGAACTCTTGCACGCTTACGATTGGTGTGTGGTTTGAGGACTAACGAACCCACAGTACCCTCAGGTACCCGCGCGCTTTCTCTTCCTGGGTGACAAAGTCCGAGCCACCACTTCGCCGCCGAAATCTCGCATTTCTTACATACACTACGAGAACTTGTATAAAAGCCGTCAGATACAGTTGAAAAATTTCAACAAATGAACATCAACCACGTTTCTGGATTCTGTACTCTCTACAAACCCGAGACGCGAAAGCTATCTATCGTTGAAATTCGCAGGAAAAACTGTATATTTCGTTGTTTTTTCCCGTTCCCAAGTAGGAGAGCATTATCCGGGGGAAAAAATGGTAGAAAAGGATGATAAATTTGGCGAAGGGTGGCTCGAGGATCGGGACGAATTATTCGAGAGAAGAAGGGGTGGCGGATGAAAGGAGGCGGGACGGCCAAGTGCTCAATAATAAATAGCATTTTGACTGTCGGATATTCGATTGCCGACGCCGACCTCTCTCTCTCTCTCTCTCTGGTCGGGACAAAACGTGGAAAAAGGGAAAGACAGAAGCACTCGAAATGGCGTTTAAGGTAAAAGCAAACGTGGATAGGGTGGCTGGATTGATCGACGGCGCTGACAAAGTGAACCCGCGACTCGGAAATTCGTCGATTCAATCAGCACGAAACTCTCGAACCCTCAACCCCTAATTCCTCACCCTCTTCGACGTTCGAAACGTCGCTAATTGCAAGGCCCTTTCACAATGCCCCGCGATTCACCGATCGATACGCGCCGGAGAATCGTTTCTGCGTTTAACATAGAGGATAAGGTAAATGGAAACGGTTATTTTCACTGTTTTTCTCTAGCATTGAACAACGTATCGTTTCGTTATTGTCAATTATTCGGACAGATAAGAAAAGACATTGACGATAATCGGTGCAATTTGTGATAAATTGTTGTTCGAAAATGTAAACGAGGAAACGGCTGGGAGGTATATAAGAGAAAATAACGTAAACATTTTTAGTATCACGATGAAGAAAACAACGATCGTTCTTGGTTTAATGGCGTTCTTGGGCGTTCTGGCAGGTGAAGCGAGAAGTACTGCGGTACCGTGCCAAGAAAACGCAGAATGGACGAATTGTGGATCGATGTGTCCACCAATGTGCAACTCGACTACATCGACTGTTTGCCCTCAGGTATATTTCACCTTGCATCCTTATTTCATTATTTCTCAACGTTTTACAAATCCTTTTATTTATTTTACATTAAATTTATATTTATATTTTATGTTTTACATTAAATTTACATTCAACATACTTTACATTCTATTTTTCTTCTAGGTATGCGTGCCTAGATGTCAATGCATAGAGGGGTACGTGCTGACTATCGATGGGGCCTGTGTTCTCTCTTCTGAATGTTGAATCACTGCTATCAATTAATCAATAAAGGATACGACTCCTCTCCGTAACATTTTATTATTCAACCTACGATTAAGAACAATTAAATCTCCGCCACACGATCTCTCCCGACTTTCCCAGAAATCCGCTTACAGACCGGCAAAATTCCCACTAACTAATTACCAAGTGAGCACTAAACGAGACGCGAAGTAGACGCGAATTAAAGGTACACCGGTCGATCGTCGTCGAGTAGCGTCGTTCGACAAATGAACGTTCCAAGATTTTCTAGTTCGCGCCTCCTCGACGTATCACGGTGCCGGAGAAGAGGAAAACGCGATAAAGAACGACTAGGATAGGTTTCCACGAACCGGCTGAGATTAACGAGAGAAAGAAGGAAGAAGCTGAGAGATCTGGTGGATCTCGTGGTTTCGTAACAGAGCTATATAAAGCCAAGTTAGTTCCTACGGGCTTTAGTATAATAGTTGTACAGGAAACGAACGTACCAAATCACCATGTCACGAAATCTCCTACTTTTGTTCGTAGTTTTGGCCGTGATCGCCAGTAAGTAATCTTTGCTTCTCGCGTAAGAAACAAGTTCGTGGACTTGAGGGGAGGAAGAGGTGGTAGAGCGAAGGATAACGCGATCATTTTTGTATCCTTGAAGGTTCGTTGGGACAGCAGTGCGGTTTGAACGAGGAATTCAACTCCTGCGGATCGGCCTGCGAGCCAAGTTGCGCCAAACCGAAGCCGAACGTTTGTACCATGGTCAGTGTTCGAACGTGTATTCTTATGCAAATCAGTCGTCGAACGTGACTCCTTTTTCTTTTGGAGATTTAACCCTAGAGCGGTCCTCGGGTCATTTTTGACCCACCGCCTTTTTATACTTTTAGTCATTTTTATAATTTTATACGCGCATAAGGCCTTAGGTCCTTTTTCACCCAAAAGTCTTAAGTGTACAGTCCGAACGAAGAACGTAGTAGGTTGAGCGAGTTGGTTGAGTTTTTTGTGTCTTCTCTTTTTTCAGAATTGTATCATCGGCTGTCAGTGTAAGAGTGGATACCTGAGGAATGGACAAGGAACCTGCGTTGCTCCGGAGAATTGTTAATATTTTCGATTGATTTAACTGAGCGATATCTGGGGTCTACACTTTGCCTCCTGCGTTTCTGTTTCATTCGTTGCTCTGCTGCAAGCTTCCCTAAGTGACGATCTCGATCACAATGTATCGCAATATTAATAAAATGGTGTTTTGAAAATTCGACGAGAGTGTTCGCTGTGCCTTCTTAGTATCGCTGTATTGATAGGAAAATTGGAGAATTGTGGTTAATGTGGAAAATTGTCGAAATGTAAAATTCGAGTCAAGAAATTTCATTGAAACAATTGAATATAAAATTGAAATTCGATTCAAGAAATTGAACTTAAGTCTACCATTTGCATACTTTGAATAATCTTTAACAACGATAAGGAAGATGTGAGTACAATAGAATAGAGTAGGTTTCAGAGAACAGATTCAAATTTACAGATGCAGCTATGCTATTTATTTTTCGCTTGGAAGGTTAGCATTTTTAAAATAAGCAATTTCCTTAACAAATACATACAGCTAATGTTTACAGTCTTTAGGCAACACACAGTGGCCCTGGGCGTTCTTGACGTATCCCTCGACGCAATGGCAGCCTGCGACACATTTCTGAAGAGTGTACAGATGAATATTGGGTTCGAGTTGGGAGAAATTCGACTGAAATGTCCTGAAAAATGATTAAACTGACCTGGATGCAGTTATTGATGGGCTTTCCACAGTGGCCTACGCAAGATGGTCCACACGAATCGTATTTCTGATTAGGCGGGCAGCTTGCATTTACGTGGCTAACTATAGAAACGTGAAAACAGCGAACAATCAAGTTGGACACGATAGATAACTGCAGAATTTTTCGATTTTTTCGCGACGAAGAGAAGAATATTTCTTTCGAAATTAAATTAAAAGTTGGAATAAGTTAAACTCAGATTAAATTAAACTCACAACGAATTAAACTGAAATTAAGTTAAACTCAGAATGCGCAAGAAATGAGTAAAATAATTATTCTCGATTTGGTAAAAACGGTACGAAGCACTCACTGCAGATACAAGCGACAGCAAGAATAAGAAGAACGACAGCGACACGAGCCATTTTCGATTAGTAGATTTTTCTAGATCGCAAGTGTTCGCACTTTTAACAACGTTTTATTCGAAACCGTGAACAGCATCACTTTTTATACCGAATAATTCGTCCTCGACTAACATTGTTGCACTCGTATGTCATCTGCTCGTCGTTTTGTTCATGCACTCGCAGGTTACGTATCGACTTAGGTGTGAATTATAAACGACTACACCTGCGATACACGTGTAATTAACTATTCGTGCGCGTGGCAAGCAGAAAACCTAGATAATTACAGTCTGCCATGTCTGATTAGGAAATATAGTTGTTCTACATCTTTGCTCCAATTGTACATTGTTCTATCGTCCATGCCAAAAAAAAAACCAACCATTAGTCACTTCCTTGTCGTTTCCTTGTTACCATTCAGAGGTAATAAAAAATTTGCATGAAAGAATGATAAACGAAAACGATTTTTGGCTGAAACTGGGACACAGAGAACGTTCCTCTTTCTCAGTCCTCCTCTCTCTCTACTGACCAAGAGACTACTTCTCGTAAGTGTGCCAAAC